GATTCGGAAACCAACGACTATTCGGAATTGTAGTTTCTGAATCGCGGATGTTTGGTTTCTGAATCGCGGTTTTGGTTTCTGAATCGCGCCTTGTTGGTTGCTGAATCGCGGATTTTTGGTTTCTGAATCGGACTTTGTTCCCTAATTGTTCATTTGGATTGTAAGAGTCTGCCACCAACTCTCTCTCTCTCTCTCTCTGTCTCTCTCTCTCTCTCTCTCGGGCGGCTCTTCCTGACAATGCCGCCGCAACACCCAAGCTCTCTACCAAATGATATTGCGCAGGTCCAGAGCTCTAGAGGCCTGAAGGTGGCGAAAGATGTCTAGACATCTAGGCGTGCGGTCTGAAGAGCACACATATGCGTGGACATGTAAAATGGCACAGACATGAGAGCACACGTGTAAAAAAACATTTGCTGCGCCTCCCGCGAAATCTGCACTTCCCTGCGCCTGCAAATCCACACTCCAGGGTCCACAAAGTACTGCGCCTGCCACAAAGTCTGCACTTCAAGGTCACGAAAAACACGAGGTTTCCCTTGCGCCTGCCCCGAAAAGTGATCACCAAGTCAGAAAACGCGCACGGCACCACAACGAGAGCGCAGTCTCGAAGAGTACCCGCGCCAGCCCACCAGATTCTGCGAGCCTGCGCAGTCGACATGCACTTCGAAGATCTCGAGGTGAATGAATGTACTGTAAGTAGCAGCGAATTAGCCCGGAGGCCCGATGAGCACTTCCGATCAGACACCCGGCCTTTACCCTTACCATAAGAACCCTACTTTTACCACACTGTTTGGGGAATAAGTACAGAAGACCTGAATACGGCGGAAAGCAGTGAAGCAGGATTGATAATGAATTGATCAATTCAAGCAGCCTTGCCAAAATGTCTCTGCATATGTCTTTCATGCCTGGAAGGTCTTCTCTGCAGTGCATCCAGGCAACGCAAATGCCTTTTCCGCGTAAGGAGTCACCAGTCTGCCAATGAAAAGAGAAATGCCCATGATAGTGGCACCGATGCCTCACAGTAGCGCTCGAAGGCGTGCTTGACCAGGCTACAAAATAGACTCTGACTCTATATCAATTGATCTTCGTTAGTTCCTAAATGAGACAGCAGGACGACCATCCTTCGAAGCCAAGCGCAAATAAATGGATTGCATCCACTCATGCTCTCCGCCTGTAGATCGTGCGTAGTTGACCGGCTTAAAGTACTCCTGGAAGGTGAGCCTTGGACGCAAGTCATGGGCGCCTGGGCCTTGTGATTTGGCTTTTCACCAATTTCCAGTCTGCCTGGCTTGTTCAGGCACGGCATAATCCTCTGATTGAAACAACAAGGTGACTATGTCTTGGACTCTTGAATCTTGATCAAGATAGAGGAGGGCAAGTGGATAGCGCAAGTATGTAGAGAATGGAGGGCCGATGATCCAACTTCCTTAAGTGCGTGCCAAGAGCTTCTTATCCTTGGGCTGGAGGGTGTATCCTCGCCACTCGTTGCAGGGCGAAGACAGGATGCCTCAACATGAAGACTAGGAGTGCAATCCATCTGAACAAAGCCAGTTGAAGGCAGTGTCACGTTGCGGACGTCAAATTTTGGCAAATGATGTTATGAGAGTCTCATCATTTCTCTTATGCTCGCAAACAAAAACAACAAAAGCAGCCACAAGCATGGTTTAAATGCACTATGACGGGACATTCGCGATGGTCGAGTTGCAGGATGCCCAGATCACAAACGCAAAGACGAATGCCTCGCGAAAAAGTTGAAGACTTTGCAAGGCATTTCGTTTGTCATCTTTGGTCTTCTTGTCTTGTGAAGCTTCTGAGGCGTTAGCCACTGCCTCTTACAGATCATTCAACATTCCTGGTTGATTTGTTTTTGAATAATTATTTGTGTTTCTCCGTTGAGAACCTGGTCCCTGAAAATCTAGGAACCATTTCGTACCGAGGGTTCTTCTCAGAGCTTCCAAACTCATTATATAAGCCCTTACTAAGGCCTGGCTAGGCCTACTAGAAAACTTAGTCTACTTATGCTATTTTTGTCCTTTGTGGTATGCCTGACCTAACTGATACTGTAGCGGCAACCCCGGAAATTGTGGTTTTTCTGTTGTCTTTTTGTGTTGTCTTTTTATGTTGTCTTCCAGTTCTTGTTCATCTTCCTTTCCTACAGCTCATGTTGTTTCGCGCCTCTTGCGTGAAGGTCTGCGGTTTGAAGGCCTTTGCCATGCCGACGCCGACAAAGACGCGGGCCCAGCCGTAGATGATGTCACGCACCACTGTGGGGATCTCAGCACGACAATATACAATTCCAAACTGCAAAAATAATCAAACCAAAACACAAAATTCGAGTAAATCTGCAAGCCCCCATGAAAGCGGATGCATCTGGTCTTCGTGCGGATGCAAATTTCCCAGGGCCCTGACATAAGCTTGATACAGCAGCGCTGGCTTGATCTCCCAGCCCATGCTCTTGCGGAATCGGTAGTTGGTGACCTTCCACGACAGGATGCAGTGGGGATAGCTCAATCGAGAGATGTATGAGTTCAATTTCAATGTGCAATAGCTGGTGGTCCCAAGACTGTGACGGGGAGCATGATGGTGCAGAACAAGAACCCACTGATGAATCCACCTTGAAGAGCTTGCTAAAAAGTTTGCACTTTGCAGCACCAAGTTAAGCAAAGCACCAACGAGCAAGAAAATCTCTCAAGTCACTTCAAGGTTCTGATGATCACACCAGCCTATTGGCCAAGTTACTCACACCGGAGCTGAAGGCTGTGAAGGTCATGGCCATATTGATGATTTCAAAGACTGGGAATTTCAACCTTAAAAGGCTCAATTTCCTCAAAACAATTCTTTTCATGAGGACTTGGTGTTATCAAAAGTTTTGACCGCCCCTTCATTGTCCAGATACATGTTGGTCGGGAATGTTGTGAGGAAGAAATTTGCGATGAGCTTGAAGTTCACCTCCTTCATGGCCTCAAAAGCTCAAAAGCAATATAGCCAGCCTCAGCCATGTCTGGGAACAGTTGAAGTGAATCCTGGAGGCCTGAGCCACAGTCATGCGCTTCACCAGCAATCGGTTGACCTGAGTTCTTAGGGAAGTCAGAGAGCGTGGTGATGTGGAGATGAGACCCAGATACGGCATGATTCCTCCAAGGCCAAAACCAATGGCTCGCAAATGGCAGACAAAATTGCAGCCACAAACGCTGCCTCAATGGCAGCATCATACTGGAAACTTGGCTTACGTGCCATTCGCATGGTGTTGATTCCAAAAAGTTCTGTCAACAAATCTAGTTGAGCCGCTGTCGCGCCCTGGGCACCTGCTGCAAAGACCTGAAGTGTAGCATGAGAGGTAAATTTAGTTAAAGGTAAAGGGGTGTAAGTTTAAGGCACAAATATATAACGAGCTCCAAATGCAAAGGGCACCTTGCTAAAAAAGTTCGCCCCTGCCGCCACCGCTGATGTGGCCACGACTGACTCATCGCGAGGGAGAGTTCCCAAAGCCCAGTTCCTGGCACAACACGTTCAAGTGCCACCAAAGGTGAGGATAGCAAAGCACCAAACATGCAAGAGTTTACATCAGTTTTGTCCAAGGTATCTCCTGCTTGCCGAATTCGTTAAAGAAGTGGAGTGTCCCTGGTGGACAGACCGAGCTGGGCAAGCGAAGGTCCACGAGAAGCTCGCACAGCACCTGTCTAGCTAGCTGGCAGCTTGCAAATCTACAACTGAGTGCGATGGTCTGATCAGAGACATGCCGCCAAACAAACGCATATAACATATTAGATATAATGTAATATAATATAGTATAATATAATATAGTAAATATAGTATAATATAGTATGACATAATATAATATAGTATGATATAATGTTATGTAACATAGTATAATGTAATATACAATATACAGTATGTAATCTTTTTTCACTCTGACTCACAGGTTCAATTCGGTGACAACTCGGATCATGACACCCCTGATTGGAGTTGAAAGCAAGGTGCAATGAACCCACAATGCCAGCAACCAGCAGCGGAGATGCACGTGCACGGCGTTGCTGGGCCTGTATACCAGAAAGCAATTTCGCCACTTCAAGGTGCTCTTCAAACAAAGGAAAAGAAACAGGATTTGTCTTGAATACTGACAACATCACTGAACATGCAATGGCAATTGAATGCCAAGCTGCCATTTTGGATGGTGCGGGCGGCAGGCCGTGTGGTTCTACAGGACACTCCGAGCCAAAGAAGGACCGCTGCTCTGCAACGCTGTGTGACATCAAACTAACTGCACCATCCATCAAAAGTAACTACAACAGAATCTCATCAAATTCAGATTGTTTCAAATCTCTTAGGGCAAGTAAAGCTGCTTGTTCAGCCTCTGATGTGAATCGTGACATATCTGACTTCAGTGAAGCAAGCTCGACATGCCCTTGCAAAGCCTGCGGAAGAGGAGCGAAATGGTTCCCTTTGGAACTGGCTGCATGAGAAAGAGATGAAATCAGAGGTTGGTTCTGATTGATGTCAATTGTCAGCTGAAATTGCTAATTCATTCTGAGGCCCACTGCCGGACTGAGGCCAGGTTTGAAAAACAAATACTGGGCGCAAGTGATAGATGGCTTCTTCTCGGAGAGATGGTGGACAATGATGGTGATGTTGGTGTTGGACAGCGGTCTCTTGATTTCATGGCACAACACCGAGGATCAAAAGGCAGCGGTGAATGAAAGATGCATTACCTTTTTTTTGGTTGGTCGATTTATAGAGGGGACACCCCCAAGTGTACAACCAAAGGTATATGGTACCAGACTGACACCTCTCTGAATTCTAAGGTCCTCATTGGTACGAAAGAGAGCAGCGAAAGTAAGCAAAGGAGCATCCTGACATTTAAGCCGTGCGACAGCATGCAGCCTGCTGCTCTCTCCATCCGTCTCAAGGCCGTTGCAGCATTTTGATGCATTCGGTCTACACAGGTTATTATATATAGGTTGATGTATTTGTAGATAGAAATGTGTTTGCAGTAGTCATCAGCCTCAAGTTGTGAAACAGGGCCAGGCAGACCTTGGATCCGGCCCTTCGGAGACAAGCAGCGCTCGCAGCGCTTGTCTTACAAAAACGCTGCCAAGGTTGCTCAGAAAACCGTACCAACTGATGTTTCCCACGGTGGACAAATCGCGCAAGAGCGAAGGAACATCAGCCCACGCCTGCAATCTTTTCTTGGCCTCCTCGCTCACCTGCAGTTGCTTTTGTGTGTAGGCTACGTAGACATATATAGATAGAAAGAAACTACAAAATGCACAATCTTGCAGGTTGCACTATATACTCGCATTTTGCGCAAGTCTGACCCCTTTGAGTAGCAGACTTTGAGAGCGCAACAATGCCTATCACTATCACAGCAACGATCCCCAAGGCAACTGCGGTGTGCTCCTTCAAGTACCTTGTTTCCAGCAAATCCGCCGGCAATGAAGGTGCTCAGGGCGTGATCATCCGGATGGCATAAACATGGTATAGGTTTACCTGGGGGGGTGGTGGGAACTGTTAGACCAATGCGCCGCCAGGGTTTATTAGCATACTGTTCATGCAAAACCATAAGATGTTCACAAACGACCACCAAAGCAAATCGACCTAACAGTAGAATCCATTGCACGAAACCATGACACACACAAAACAGAAACAATGTTTCATATTTTTTTACCATGCATCATCAGAAAGTACATACAAACGCCAACTTGTGATTGTTCACCTTGAAATGTTAAAGTGGAAAACCAAAAGGTTTGCAAGGGGCAAGCATGGAAAAGAACCTGAATAACAAGGAAAACATGGAACCAGACTCATCCTTACCAGAGCTCCCCCTGAAGGAAAGGACATAGAAATCCTTTGTGCTAAATGGACACCGCTTCGTTTGATGTTTTTTCTAGCTGGTGACCACACATATGAAACCTACAAGACCAGAATAACCAAACGTAAGTCCAACTATAACCTAAATAAAACCTACTGACACCGAAAAAGCCTTGCCAAGTCAGTCCACAAAGTTTCACTCAGCCCAATCTGTTCAGCATATTATCAATTTCAGTATCAGTTTGTGGTGAACAACGATGAAAGGCACTTTAACATGTGATCCATGTCTCATACCATTCACTTCACATGACATATCGATCCATCTCACACCCTTTCACAGTATTCAAACCTGTACAAAGCTAGTGACAAGACACTTCCTGCACAATGCCCGCTCATCACCTGCCAAAATACAAAATTCCAACAAATCCAGAAAAATGACAAAGTATTTCCAACTCATTCCCAACTTCCACCCAACTGTTCACAAATGATTTTCTACTTTGGGAGGAGCCATCTGAACAATATATATATGTTTCCTAGCTTTGAAAGTTTTCTATAGATCTTGCATACAGCTTTTCAGCTTGTTGCAGCATCATCTGCTTGTTACCAATACCTACTAGAGTAAGTTGCTATCAGTAATGAGGAACCAATCCACTCTCCCACACCCACGGTCACCATGAGGTCCCATGTTTTACCCTCGCAGTGCTGAATTTTTCCACGCCAGAAAACTGAAGGAATCTATTATCTAGTGGAAAGTAGTCCAAGTTTCGCCGAAGAGGCACTGTTTGAAGCAGGCACATAGGTTCATCCCAGATATTTGCCTTGCTTCGCAGTTACCAACCTCCACCAATCCACGCACAGCTCACGCGCGAGTGAAATACCTCATCAGCTCATGTGGAGCTTGCCTTGTGTAATGATCTCGGTGAACAGCATTGCAAACGGTCACATTGCGAATACGATAGTTCATGAACAAATAGTTCATGGATATTTCACATGACATAATTGCCATGAACATTCCATGATCCCAACATTGCATTGCTAGCGCTCGTGAGATGGGCTCACGAATGTTGTAGGCAGCTCATCCAAAGTTTGGAGGTCAACAAATGGAGCGTCCCCTAACTGGCTGAGACCTGACTGGCATCAAACAGACCAACAACCTCACGCATACTAAATTATACATTTGTCGGGTTGATTCATGGCATATGGACTCATGGGTCAAACAGATCTATGTCATGAACTCATCAACTCATACCAAGCTCAGCCGTTTCTCACGCGCTCATGACCTGACTGGTGCAGGTGATGCATTGCACATCTTGTCATAGATTGGCCACATCAACTCATTCTTTGTAGACGGTGTTCCTGAAAATGCGCATATTTCAAATGACGCAATGAAAATATCACACAAACTCCTTAATTACTCATAGACAACTCATTTATCTTCAAAAGTCATCAATCTAAGTCTCATAACCTTCTTGATCTCCTCCTTCCTCAAATCACGCAAAACCTGACGCTGTATCCTCATCCAATAGTAATAGGCCCATCCTCAGCGCAACAACCTTAATTTCAAACTGCGCAGTATAGACCCATGACAAAGTAGCGTAGTCATATGTCCAATATGTGAGAACCAAGCTGATATCATAGTAACTAACCAAATCAAATTACTAGGTAACGTGCACATTATCTATGCAGCCAGGGCGCCAAACTCATTCCCCTCATCCAAAAAAGCATCCCACTGTGGGTTCGATGGTTTGAGTGGACTGAATACGCCAATCGTCAGATGTGTTACACGTGTAAACGCCGACATAAACCAACCAAAGTACTGATTGATGACATCAAACAGAAAACATAAACATATGCTGGCTCGTCCAGATTGCTCAAAACAACCCACCCCCACTCCAATTCGACGCTTGCTGATCTTTCTGCGTTTGCTCGTTTGCAACGCAGCGCCCATCAGCGCACACGCCGCCAAAGTGCGCAATTCTAACCATGCAGGCCCTGATCTTGTCTCAGTCCAGTTAATCAGTTAATCCAAGAAAAATGATTAATCACTTCATTCCTTCATGAATTGGTTCAACAATCTTCATGTAAACCAATACTAAAACTACCCAATCAATCTCAACCAGTAACTCTCTCCCTTTCAAAGATGAGCCATTGCATCATCAGCTCACCCCGCAATGCTTGCATTCTTTCTAATCTTCCCGTTCTCAGCTGCATTGAGAGTTTCAAGCTAGTCAAAACGTTTATACATCATATTTGCGTTTAGAACTAGACATATATGTATGTTATCAAGCCCAAGTCAACAACAAAATCAAACCATATACAAATATAAATATATAGATATCATTGCTTATACTTCAAGATTCAACCACACCTTACAAAACCGACCTAGCTGCTTTTACGACCAATCCCGCCGATATTCCGGCGAGGAGATGCGTCAGATAGTCGACCTGAGCCGAAGCCACATGGCTGACTGCTGACTTTCGCGCTAACCAAGGCGACATATTTCTGTTTTGCTGTTGACGGCAGGGAAGAGCGCACTCACTAAGGTCTTGGTGACAGCAGTTGCGGACCAGGTGGGCGTCATAGTTTGTGACGCGAACCTCTTCACTGATAGACAATTCAAGCAGGATCGACATTCCGATCCGGCAACAGCCTCCGTCCTTACCATTTTAAACCAGATCCTAGTTTCTGCAAATAAGCTGCGTGAACCTCACCAACGCTTGCCACAGATCAGCTTGCAGCACTAGCCGGACAGGATGCCGATGTAGACTGCCTTACGCAGATTGCGCTAAATTATGGCAAGGATATACTCACGCTAGTGACGACCCGACGTTCCAGATGACAAAGGCCGTATTGGATACGATGGACCTCCGCATCAAAAAGAAACCCTCATTGAGGTCAATGAGAACCTGAAACATTTGAACCATTTAGACTTTTGTCTGCACACCAACGACCATGATTATCACCACCCGTTTCAGTGTACATTCCAACTCGCTGCAAGATCCAACGTTCGAGTCCGAAGTGATACTTCTGCGCGAAACAGAAGGGCAAAGAACGTTCTCAGTGGAGACGGCAAGTGTGGTGGCAATCCTCTGCCTCCTATTCCTCGTGGCATCAGCCTCACTGGGACACTGGCTGGAGAGGGTATAATAGACGATGGTAACCGGCAATTGAAACATAGAGAGTGTCCATTGTGCCTCGTCAACGTACAAAGCATCAGGATCAAACGTCTCTCAGGCTGTCTCATTGTCTTCTTCATCATCTTCTTCTCCAGTGACATATTATTCTTCTTCAACGGGTTTTGGAACAAATGTCGGGTCACCAGGTGTTGTTTCAGCGTCACAGTCTGCTTCTTCGGTAGGTATCGGCAATAGGCAATACCATTGTACCGGTAGGTGGTTGTAAACCTGCAAATCGCGCGAAACATCACCCCCAGATGGTTGCTAGGAGGCGGACTAGACGACGACGCAGGCATCTGCTTAGCGGGGGCAGGTTTGGAGACAAACTTAGGTATAAACGGTAGCGTAGGATTGATGGCCTTGGGTTTGGTTCTTGGTTCGGGGTTGTGAGGGTGTATGGATGCTGGGTTCAGGTGGATGTGACTTGCGTCGCTTCTGTGGTACGGTAGGTAAGCTTGGTGTGACAGGTGTATCAGGCGATGCAAAAGGTGTTGTCGGTGGATGAGGTGGTGGAGTGTGTGGTGACTCCATCGCACGGTGGTGTTGAAATATCGAAGGTCGGTGGACCAACGTGTGGAACTGTAGGCGCAGGTCATGGTGGCATTGAATAAGCTGATGGTGGTGTCGGTTGTATAGGTTCCAACGCCGGTAAGTCGGCATCATCCTCATCCGGTACATCATTCATCTGATCATCCATACCAGCATCATCATTCGGATCAGGTGCGAGACCAGGATGTGGAGGCTGTCCTGGTGGATCATCGAGGCCCATTGGCACTGGATTGTTCGTGGCGCTTGTGGCCGTGGAGGCATCTTGCCACTGTCATTCCAGTAAAATACTGTCATCCAGTGTTGTGGAATGAGTTTGTCCAAAGCTACTTGTTGATGATCCATTACATAGATCTTGGAGAAGTTGTTCTTGTTCCACATGAGAACTACACCAGGCTTGTTCTTGTACATGGTTCTGAGATGACCAAATGTACCTTTCATAATTGAGACATACTGAAACCTAAGTGTCGGAACAAAGAACTGACGAAGGACTCCAAGATACTGATCGAATGTAACGTTATGGCTACCCGGCAATGTTTCAGTACCGCTTGGCACACGAGTAAGATGATTCATAGCCTCTCTTATCTCATGATTGGTTACGGCTATTGCGGGGTCAGCAAACGAACGCGTATCCGGTACTACTCGGAGCCCTGCAAGAGCGGCTGTGTGGCCAAGTCTAGCTGAACCACTAAATAGCTCTAGGAAATCGATCGCTTGGAGTCATCAGAATGCCTGAAGCATCTCGACCGTCGGAAAGGTCGAGTGGGACGTCAACGTCTTCTATCGGATTGAAATACTTTCTTATAAGTCTTGTTCCTGCTATCCGGGGCTTGAAGTTATATCTGAGGGTTCAGGCTTATTGCTGCTCCTTGAGCCAAGTGGGAAGGGGGGAGTGAGCTGGAGGTGGCTCGTGTCACACGCTTGTGCGTTCTTCCTTTGTTAAGGCTTGGAAGCTAAGCGTCGTCGCCTTTAGGTTTGTTGGATTGCTGCAGCCACTGGCCAGGTGTGGCACCTGAGCCAGTTATTGTCACGAAACAAGAATTGAATCCGTTTGCTGTTGCGGTTTTGGGGTTACCTGTTGTTGGGCGGCGGTGATCTCACGGTAAAGGCGCTGGCTGCCTTTGCTGGGAGATCTCGTGACAAGATTAAATTCAGGGCAAACGTGAGAAGGAACCAAAGGATGGGTAAGATGATTGGCATTGGCGAAACCGAACACCAAAAGTCATTTGATAAATTTCCGGGTTGGGAAAGGAGAATTAAGAAGCCTACTAGGGGGCCACCTGTACACAAGGAATTAACACGCAACGCTGAAAACATAAATAAATAAGCCCGCTTACTCACTTGGCCCGTGATTTTGCACACAACTAGATCTTTCACGGTGGAAAAATACTGAAAAGTATCTCGGGCGAGAACAGGGGGAAAGTTAAATTGTGAAGAAACCAGGAACTACATCTGGCCCTGTCTTCATAGGCCCCAGACCCTTGACCTCTCCGATTTTATTCCAACATTGACTTGACGGAAACCATTACGCAAGACCCTCGGGTTGAACAAAGGCGGTCTCGGAGCGGCCACGTGCCGCTGAGAAAAACAACAACCAACCTTGTTTCCACGGATCTCGGTCAAGCATTGGCGCGCAATTTTTTCCACACACGCGCACCGTCTCGGTCTTCTCTGGCCGCTGGCGGCTACTCGACATCCTCAACGCAGCGGTCATCGCCTTCACCATCGGCGGCCGCCTCTTCCTCGCCGCCCTCTTCTGCGTCAAGACCTTCAGGATCTGGGGCTGCCAGCTCCGCTTTCTTCTCAAGCGTTTTCTTCTCCTTCGAAGCAAGGTTGGCGTTCTCGCGAGCGTCCATCATAGCTGCCTGAGGTGACCAGACAGCAGGGTCTTAACGATGAAGATTTTTTTGCTCTTTGCAATATGGCAGGCCATCAGTGGAATCAAAAACAGGACATCGCAACTTTTTTGTAATTTTTGGAATCCAAGTCTCTGCCATGAGCTTCACCTCCTCGACCGATTTGCCAGCTGCAAGCGCTTCACGGCAAGCTTCCTGAGAAGCACGTTTCGTTTGCCATTGAATTTCAACGCTGAAGAAATCACAAACAAAACAAAAGTAACAAAAACATAAAGCGTGAAATGTTGAGAGGCCAACAGCGCGGTTGCGCCCAACACCTGGCCAAGTGTCCGCCACATCACGAATTTCATCCGCCGTCACATGCTTGCGCCCTTTGGCCTCGTCAGAGTACAAAAGTTAAAAACCATGAGGTCATGGGAACGGCAGGCCACAAACAGAATAAAGCTAAGGGCGGGCAAGTGACTGACACTGCCATCACTTGCTTCCCATTCATCTTCAAGCCGTAGCTGTTACTAGTTTTGTAGAACTCTTTGTAAACCTTCAAAGCCTTGCCCTCGCTGCTGGCCGCTGGTTTTTTCATCACCTTGGCAGCTGGCCGCTTAGCAGGAGCAGGTGGAGCAGCTGCTTCTTCCGAAGGTCGTGCAGGGTCTCCTCCTCCTTCCGAAGGTCGCGCAGACTCTGGTAGTGTCTCACCTTCTTGTTTTGTAGGAGGCTCAGCATGCTTGGTAGGAGCAGCAGCTGTTTTGGCTTTGGCCTTGGGCTCAGGCTTGCCCTTCACGGGAAGTTCTCGCTTCGCAGGTTTCTTCATAACAGGTGCACCTTCATCTTGCCCACCATTACCTTGCTCACCCGCCGGCTCATCGTCAGAGAGCGCTGTCACATCCTCCAAACGCGACGACATGAGCGGCTTCCTGGCCGCTGCTGGTAGAGTCAGAGTTGGCCTAGAGTGGAAAATGACACACCTTGAACCAGCACGTCAATGAATAGTTCAACGCCTGGGCAGGGTTTCTACATTAGAACGTAATACAGGTGAAGCGGTCCTGGGCAGCATTCTCTCACACCCGAAGAAGATGCTGCTGTGTCCGTGAGCCTCACATCCAAGGTTCACAATCGCTGGGAAAAGCCTGCTTCGAACAGAGGTTCCCTCGTGAACCTCTACAAAACTCAAAGCAGCGGTCAAAATGCACGCTGGCAAGACTGAAAGCCGGGCACACTCAATTGTCAATTGTGCATCAAATGTCCATGTGAACAATTACAACTAACAACAATGGTTTGACCAGCTGACCGGCGTGCTTGCGCTGGAACAAAGCGAAACTACGCCTCTGGCTTCAGCCAATGGGCGCAGCCTGCCCGAAGCGTGGTGTCAGCACAAAGCCACAGCTTGGGCTTTAAGGGAATCACTTCAGCCGGACACGATTGGTCACACTTGACTTGCCATAGCACTTGGCAGGTCGTCGTTTTGGGAAGCTTGGAGAAGGCTGCTTCGAAGACACCCCCCAACTGTGTTGGTCGCAAGTTCAAAAGGTCGCCATCGAGCTTCTTCGGCGCAAAGCACGCCACTTTACTCTTGGCGACCACACCATAGCGGAACGGGCGGGGCTCTCCGTTGGCCTACGCAAGATTAAAGGCGGAAAGCGTTATCCTAAACTTTGGGCCGCCTACGAAAGCTTTCACTCCCTGGCCCTAGCTCAAACTTTTGGCTGCTTGGCCTTTGTCAAAGGCTGCATGTTGTGGTCAGCCAGCAGCACTTCCATGATGCCGTAGTTCTGTGCCATCATGCAAATCAAACTCGCCACGCTGATCTCCTTCTTCACATCATCCTTGGTGTAGACGACGGTCTCATGGTCCCCACGCAGGCACCAAGCTAAACCGTCATCAGTACCCGGGACTTGTCTGGCAAGCTTCTCAGTGAAGGACCCAAGCCCAAAACCACAAATCTCACCATGCTTGACATCCAGGCTGGCGTCAGTCTCGTTGGCCAAGTAAACCTTGTAGTCTTTGGTCACGTAAACCTTGACTTTGCTGTTGCTAGCCATGTTGCTGCAAGCCTTCAACCTCAGCGCCAATAGCCGACTTGAGAAACCCATTTGCCAACTACCCGTTACTGTCTACAAACATCTAAACCAAGCGAGCAAAGCACATCGATCGCTAATCGCAAGCCCTTGCTAAAAAGTGGCTCCGCCGACAAGCGGTCACGTGGAATGATATGGTCGTCCTCAAAGGCATGCGTGGTTGCCAAATCCAAAGGTCGCTCATCGCCTTCACATCCAAATTCAGGTTGGCAATGCGAGCGGGCAGTGCCAGTAGCAGTGGTGCTGGGAGTTGGCCGATTCCGAGCAGGAGCCTCTGAACCATCTTTCACAATCCCAGCCCAATGGTGGTTCCACTTTTGGATGTCATTCTTCATGTCTCTCAAGAGATCCTTCCCCGGGTCATCAACAAAGGTATCCATGACAACTCGCGGAAGCCTAACTCGCAAACAATGTCATTTGGCAACTGTTCAACAGGCTGCCCCAACAAAGAAAGCAACAACGGAAATGGTCAAGGGGCGTGAGGACACCGTCAGCCGGGTTCCATGACAAGATTTCCAGCGCTGGCCGAAGTTCTGAAAAGCATTCCCTCACTCGCTGGTTTGGGCCCGCCTCTTGACATGTGTCCCACCACTCCTGCGCACATTTAATGCTTTAATTCTATTTCATTTTTAGCTGAAAGCGGCAGGAAGCCGCTGACATTCAAAATGCAAAGTTTACTACAGGCACTCTTTCACCGTGGAAATTTGTGTAACAACATGTCAGTCCGTCAGCATCGCCCCACTTACAGCTGCTGGCAACTTTTGCGCCAACTGGTCGCGCAGGGGGACATCCGGCAAGTCCACAACAATGCCCATGAACCGCCACTGCCAAGTAGAAGATGCTCCAGACAGCGCATTCTTCTGGCTCTGCCAAACAGCCTGGCTCCACTCATTGAACCTAGCAGGGCCGTTTGGCTTGAAAACATGTGGCCATGCGTCCTGGAAACCTGCGATGTACAGGAGCAAGGCTTCGATGAGTTTAAGCAGCACAGGGTGAACAAGAACGAACCGAGCCTCGAGCACATGAAGTCGACCGCCAGAACTTTGGACCCTTGAACGCCCTCCAAAATCGTGGAAAGGATGCGTCCACAACCTGCCACCCCTTTCTGCTGAGCTCGCTGGGCAGGGCTCAATGCAGCGTCATCAACCTTCTGGAGGTCACTCACTCTGGGCCTCTCAATCGGACCAACAGATCCGAGACAAGCCTTGCTCTTTGCCCAGGGAGAATCGCTTGAGTGAATGCTTGAAACGCAGAGCCAGCCTCACTGATTGACAGAACCATGACACAAGAGTCTTGACAATTCCCAACATTAGGGGAATGCAAATGAAAAATAACCCAAAAACGGAACAATCAAAAACTAAACCATCCACAGTGGCTACTTTGACACAACCGGCGCTTGTCAGAACCATGAGAGGACTCCGCAAACATAAGCATCGTCTCGAAAACCTCAAAGGACCTGAGCGGTGGAGCGCGTAGGCTTTCTTGAATTCCAACGACTAAGTTTTTGAATTCAAGCCGCGGAATGAGCCCAGGACGCAAGCAACTTGTCTTCCACAGCACGCCTCTTCGTCACTATGGCGTGCAAGTTGACGCCACTGTGGACGACCGGGCTCAAGACCAAAAGCGCTGCATTTGGCCGAGAATTGCATACAGACTTTGCCACCTTCAAGGTGTCGTCGACCCAAGCTGAACCTGAGCTTGACTCAAGCCACTGCAACTCCAAACGCTTGCCCAATGACCTAGACAAGCAGCGAGCTGGCCAAGTAGAGAGGTCGCACAGCATTAATAGCAGCCTGAAGCTTTACCCGCTAGCACTGACTGGGATTGGGTGAGCGAAGAAACTTGAGCAATCAAACTGAACACCCTGAAAACAAACTTCAACCAAGGTTCTCTGGGCCGTCATCGCTTGCAGCAGCAGCAAATCGCATCATCTCTGCCTGGCTGTCGCTGAAGTTGTCGGGGCCGATGGAGATGAGCCGATGGCTTCTGGCGCAGAAATCCTGCACCTTCTGCACGCCCTTGCTGTAACGGTCTGCTAAGTATCGGACATCCACGTTCCCCTGTCGGTTCCCCCACTCAAGTTTCTTCTGCGCCCACACCTCCATGTCGCCAAGCTCCTTCTTGACTTTTTCGGACGTGTTTTTGTTCTTCAGGCTGTCCATTTCATTTTGGAGCCTCGAAGCAAAGCGAGAAGACATCAAACTTTAAACAAAAAGGGTTGAAGTCGTTGCACAATTTTTTTGGAAGGGATCATGGGCCATGGGATGAATTTGTAGCGGGTACCGCTGAGTTGAACTGATGTTGAAAAGCAAACTTGTTTGTCGGGCGGCTGCTGGGCACGCTGCTCCCTGGACTCATCAACCTGCCAGGCGATAACTACAGCGCACAAATCACGAATCACATCAAGTCTCGCCAAATCTAATTTCGCAACAAACCAAATCTCGCCAACAAGAACGGCCTGCCGTTGGTACTTGAACAGCGATGATCTGAAAACGCACAGTTGGTCAAGCAGTTGGTCGATGTCTCCATCAATGTGCTTGGCAAGGAACCTTTGCTAGAATCTAGAACGACTGCGGGCGCAACAGGCAAAACAAAAATAATTCTACCGCTGGTGAGGTTTTGCCAGGAAACGCACGCTGCATGTTGGGAATTTCAGCGTCGTAAAAATCTGCAAGACATCCTTAGCGGAGCAAAGGTTGCCATCATTGCTAATACCTGCCTTTGCTTTGCTGCTGAATGGGCCAGCAATAAATTCCTTATGGTTTTGGTTTCGATGTTTCAACCCAAGGTTCCAAGTCTTTAGCTGCCCAAGGCTTCCGCATTCGCAGCGCAAGTGCCTCATAGTCGCCCTTGAGGCGGTCGACCATGAGATTCACCGCACCAACCGTGTTTTGTAGCTGCGCGTCCCAAGGCCGGAGCGCCTGAGTCGACGCCCCGTTGAAAGCTGTGTTCAGGCATCCAGAAGCCAAGGCATCGTGCGTTATGAACTTGGCCTGGGAGTATTGCCTGAAGACAGAAAACGAAAAGAACCCGCAAGGAAAGTTGTTAAATGCCTCCACTGATTCCCTTGCCAAAATGCTGGACTAGAACCATGAGCCGGTCAACAGCTCCGGCATCCATCTTGGTGAGCATGTTGAAAGCAGCATCAGCTTCAGCGCGCCCAATGCTGAAGGAACTCTGGAAGGTGGAGACATCTTTCCATGTCTGGCAAACAAGCGGCGGGCGAACACATATGGCCCCTCCAAACCAATGCAACAGAATGCGACTATTTTTACTATTATATTTGGCTGGCCTCTTCAAACTCAACTGCAGCGTCCTTCAAAAGTCGCAGCTGCCATAAGATATTGAAAGCGTTGGGGCGCTTTCTCGTTGCGGCACTTGATAACGTGACACCTGCGCAGCTTTTCTTTAAAATCCAGAACGCTTACGCATTTGTGGGCAACCTGTCCAACACAATAAGGCGAACCACAGCGAACCAAGAAAGAGCCTCGGTTGTGGGCGCAAAGCTGCGCCAAAGCAGTGCTGCCGCCATCATGCGGCTGCACTGCCCCATGGATGAGACCAAACGTCCTTACACACAGTAGGCCCACTTGAAACTGAATTAGGATGAGCACAAGCTCATGACCACCGCTAGGGGCAGGGCTTGCGCACTTCTGGTTGCAGCGCCTGGGAAAGAGATTGAGTCCGTGGTGCGAACAAGCTGTGGTTCAACAATGACAACTTGAACTTGGAGTCAACCTATCCACACCTGGCCTTCAAGTATTCCTCGCTCTCCCAAGCACACGCCATCAAAAACCACAAGGCAAAGCACCTTGTCCAACCTTTCACTATGAGGAGAGCCATGGGCTCCACCAGGTCTGCTCCATCAGTCGCGCCAGTCACATCCGCCACCGTAAGTGGTGGCCGATGCGCACACATGCCCGAGGTCGGCAAAGAAACTGAAATCTTCTCGCACCCACCCAGATCTGGGTCTGATAAGAACCTCACAAACTTGAACCATGGACAAGCCAAACGTCGAATTGCCTGAGAACGGGTTATATATAAGGTTATAATCATCACAAACATACTGAGCGGTCTACCCAACTCCGCTGATCATTTCCAACAATGAGGTGAGTGTATCCTTGGGCAAATTTCTTGAGAACTTGCAGTGCACACAGATGCTGATGGAAAATGTCAAACATCTGATGAGTAAGCCTCGGGCAGGTCCACATACCCCTTGAACCCTGCATCTCGGTGGAAGCTCACTTGCCATGGTCGGATAAAGCAGCCTCCAGCGCGGTGAAGCTGTCCGGCAGTCACATATTTCCTGGCGCGCGCAACACTTGCCCATAACCTTATGAACCTGAGAGAGAGGAGCCCTTGGGCTCCCACACGCCAGGCGACGCTTCAAACGTCACATCAACAAACTTGACAAACTGCTTGAGCTTGGCCTGACAAGAAAAATGAAGGATACATCATTGGATTGCTGTCATGGCATGACAGCGCAGCAGCAAAGCTTTAGAGGCCACAAAGGCTTTAAGGATCCTACACATACCCCTTGTGGCCTTTCAAGAATCAATCGCTTGCGAGCCAGTGGATGAAACAGTTATAAAAAATAAAGGTATTCTTGCTTGAAGGTCCTTTAGAAAATAGTGTATATCTACGACGCGGCGGTAATCCATTAACTTGCGAGATTGGGCTGCACATGGTGTTGTACTGCTGAAGTCATTTGGCTTGGGTGAAGTTGAGGGCTTAGGGCTTAATTTAAAGCTTTAGGGTTTCGGGACTCTTGCTATGGTTTAGAAACAGTAACCAAATTTTCGCGAACTTGTTTTGGCCCACATTTTGGGTTTAGGGTTTAGGGTTTAGTTATTGGATTTTGTGATGAATCCCAGTCAGATCCATCACAAAACATCAGCT